CACACTTCTCTTTCTGTGTGTGTGTGTGTGTGTGTGTGTGTGTGTGTGTGTGTGTGGAAAGACAGGGAATAGAAAGATGGAAGTAAAATGACAGTTCACAATCCATTTTCTCCACAGACGCCAAGGTAAGTCTGAGCGAGTGTGTGTTTGTGTAAGACAAACTGTCACAGTTAATGTGTCCTCTCGTTTTCTAGGGAAGCAGCGGGCATGGAGTGTGTCAGCAGTTCTGTGCCACTGCAGAGGCTCACGCTGGCATTTAACGACTAGAGCTGCACACACACACACACACACACACACACACACATTCACATTCACAACAAAGTGCAGCCCAGCTCCCTGGAGTTTAATTACAGAAAATCTGAAACCAACTCCCCTATGCAGGAAACTTGTTATAGATATGCTCGCTTTATAAACCATCAAGAAACATACAATCACACAGTATTGCAAAATATGTCGGATACTTTACAGAAATAATTTAGACAAGCAGAAGCTTCCAAAACCAGTTCTTTAGCTGGATCTAAAATGGATTTCTTATTAACTGCTTTCTCATTAACTGAATCTAGTTATGCAACATAATTGGAGTAAATAGTGTTTTTGGTCTTTATGTGCTGTTTTATAATCAGCAGATGTTCATAGAAGTTTGGTCTGCGCCTTGAATTAGTTGGTGGGTCAATATTCAGTCTCTCGGGCATCTGCTGTAAAAGCTAGCAGAAAATAACTAATAATTTTATGGTGTGCAGAAAGGAAGAACCAAATTTCCCATGCTAAAAGAGTGAATAACCCTGATGTACCATCTAAGCTTTACAGAAATGAGCTCATAGACAAAACTTTTTGTGTCTGTGTGTGTTTGTGTACCGTAAGTGGGTGTGCTGTCTCGACGGGACGTTGTGGGTCCGTGGTTGGGGTCGTACTCGTAGCAGTAAAGGATGGCTTCTTCTTCCATGAGAGGAAATCGCTGTCTGTACTCTTGATCCAGGAATGAGTTTGGTGATTCTGACCCTTTTGCGACAGATACCCCGCCTTCACCCAGGAGAACGCCTTTTTCATCTCTAAAAGCACAGCATAACATAATATATTCAGATTTTACTGTATGTACACTATTTAAAACATATATCTATATTAATATATTTTAAAATGATATTTATTCCTGTGATGGCTAAGCTGAATTTTCAACAGCCAGTCTTCAGTGTCACACGATTCTTCAGAAATCATGATTTGGTGCTCAAAAAAACTATTTCATATTACTATCTGTTGTGCTGACAGTAGGATCTGAGGAATCGAATCACCTCCTGATTCAGACGTTCAGTTTGCCCGTTGGATTGAGGATGGTACCCCGATGTAAGGCTGATGTTGACGTTGAGGTGTTTGAAGAAGGCGGACCCGGCAAGGCAGAACAGTAGAGACAAGGCAGAGGCAGAATCATGAACCAGGCGAGAGATCGGGGCAGGCGGCTAGCAAACAGAGTCCAGGTGAAACAATCCAAGTCGGGGCAGGCAGATAACAATCAGAGAATCAGGAAACAGTCCAAGATCAAAGCACAGAAAACAAACACGGGTATAACGCTCGGAAATGACAGCCGGGGCAAATCAAGACTTCGCAATGAGTTCGTGAAATGGTGTGGCTTATATGTGTGTGTGTAAATGAGATGCAGGTGTGATTGTGTAATCAGTCCCAGGTAAGAGGGATGATGGGAAATGGAGTCCGAATGGGAGATCGCTAATACTCTGGGGACAGTTCCCTCTGGTGGTGCGGAGGAGGCGGTACGGGAGCCTCCTCTGTAACACTATCAATGTTGAAAACAGTTGTGCTGCAATAGTTTTGATGAATAAAAAGTAAAAACACAGTATTTGTTTGAAACAGAAATCTTTTGTAATATTGTTAATCTTTTACTGTCATTTTTGATCATTTTAATGTGTCAATAAAAACATTCATTTCTTTTTTTTTTTTTTTTATCTTACTGACCCCAAACTTTTATATAGTAGTGTAGATCAATTATTACACAGAAATTTGTGAAAGTTATATTTGTTACTATTGCAACTAAGGAAAATCTGGAAATTCTATAATATTTTGTCTAAAAAAATCAAAAATTTTACAAGCTACAAGTGAATTTAGGCATCACAGCATTTTGCAGTATGAAAATTTTAAACTTGTATTGAGATTTGCTAACATTTACACTAAACATTGTCATTAAATTATTAGTGTTTTTAAAAGATCTAAATGCAAAATTGTACAATTAAGTAGCCCTTATTGTTCAATAAATGGAAAAATTTAAACTGCTGATATATGAAATTAATGTTGCAAAAACAGATCATTCACAAGACGTCACAAAATGTCACAACCATCAGCTTTTTAAAACCACTCATATATATACCTATTCAATTTTCTGCAATAGTATGAATTATGCCCAAACAGAGAGGCTAGCCAATAAAAACAGGCATATTCAAATATGTTTTCTTGTATCGAACGTACAGTAGTAGCAAAAGTAGCAGCTTGTTTCATTCTAAAGGTGTTGGACAAAACACAGTTTTTGATGTAAGAAACCTTGACTAAGAATTCAAGTGAATTTCAAGCCAAAAAGCAGCTGAAGTGTAAAAAATCCTTTACTGGATGAGCTTACCTGGGTGTGTATGGCTCAGATGGAGGGGGCGGGATATACAGGTCTTGGAGGGCGGAGCTATCACGCTTGGAGGGTGTGCTGATGGTGCTCGTAGGCGTGGCCGAGCTGCTGGTGGGACTCCTGGGAATGACTGGCTGCTGGGCAGACAAGATCATTGGATTAAAGATCAAAGTTCACATCTACTATGAGCTGGTAAAACGTCTGAGGGCACAACTAAATGTAATAATGGAGCTCTGTTCCAGGACGTGACCCAGACACTGATATCTGCAGACAGTCACAAGGGTGAGGGATAGAATCGGCGGCGCAGTCCCTCTGCAGTAATGTCTGCAGTAAACAGTGCACTGGGATCTCTGGGTCATGATGCTTTGACATAATGAGTGGGAGTCTATGGAAACATTTGCGGCATCTCCAGAGAACACAATGGCTTCAGAGACTATAGATGTGTGATTAGTGTCTCCAGTGAGCTGAATGCCTGGGAACAGGGGTTGTGACACAGACTGCACAGACATGACATGCACAAAGAGTGCATATAATCAGTGAAATGAGCATGTGAGATGACAGCCGCCGAGATGGAGACGTACACAGATCTGTTTGGGGAAAACAGCTAAAAGTTTAGTCTAGAGTCACAAGTCTAGAGCCAAACTTGAATCCTTCCCCGAAAGCCGATTAAAGCTAATCTGCTCTCTCTGGCGCACACTTTCGCAACACTTCTAAGGCAGGTTAGTGATGTTACTGCGAATGACACCGTAAGACCCACGAAGGAAACTCCGATATCGAAACAGTCCTGTTATTTACACAAAATAAACTATAGTTGTGTTGCAAAATTTCAGTCAGAAGTAGGACGTTTGAATGGAAAGCGACATGTAAGCAGGCAGGTGCATTATGGGAAATGGAGTCAAAGGTGTCAGTTCCCTATCTAAGATGAGGCCAGGGAGCGGGTGGCAGATAAAGGGGGAAAGTGCAGCCCAAAACGATGAAGCTTCTGGGACAGGGCGATCTGAATCCTACCTGCAGGGCCAGGGGCTTCCATCTCATGTTCTTTAGTAGGGCTGGGGCAGAGGTGAGCGTGCTCTGGGGACGCTTTTTCAGGGTCAATGTCACACCGGCAGGGTCCCCTCGCAGAGAGCTTACCAAGTTTTTCAACTGCCAGCCCACCTACAGCAACAAACACAGGGTCAACATACACAGACTCGACAAGAACGCCACACAGAGACATCACCTGACAAGGAACTACTAGGAAATCCTAACATACGTCTCTCTATATCCGGTGAATATGGAGAGAATATACTGTTACTATGTATCACACACACACACACACACACACACACACACACAACTGAAAAGTTCAAGCATATATTTCTTAATAACTAAATTCCACAGCTTCACTACTAGTAGAGAGATGCTGCCAGGTAGAATTAATTCACACATGCAATCGCTCACTAATGCATTCATATTAATGTAATCTTTACTGTGCTACTTTATCTGTATCTGATTTAGAATGAGCAGAAATCTGTGAGAAATATAACGACCCAAAGACAAAAGAACTGATTAAAAAACTGTTATAGGAGCAACAGCCATGTGGGCAGTGCTGTGTCATATGCCATAGCTGTGCACAAGCTGTTTGTCACAGCCCCAGACTTATTTGTTCATTAATGACGTCATCAGCGACTAGTCGACTTCGACTCGACTTTCATCACATAAAAGTCGACTTCAAAAAATCAGAAGTCGTTCAACCCCTAACACACACATACACTTCCTGACCCACAGTACATGTTGATTAAGTTTACTATGTGAAATGAGTGTGATGTTTGCTAATCATTTAATTGATTCCACATTTAAGTCTGTGGTAGAACTTGACATTCCCGGTAAATGTCAATATTGGAGCCTTCGGTTCTTCATAAATTATGTATAATCATGAATTCTGAAAAAAAATATGAATGACAATACTGACTATATTTTAAAACTAAACATAAAAAAATGAAAGATAATAAAAGACAAACATGAAGTCTATACACTGACTACATTTTTATTGTTGAAATATTTATGTTACACTGTTATAAAAATGCTTACTGAGCCAGCAAGTGAAGCTAATAGCTGGAGGCAACTCTTTAAATATAATTCTAAAATAATGTGACACACTATATGCAAACTCTACATTTTTAAAGATGTTTACATTACTGATGAATTATTAAACTACATAAATTCATAACATTTCACAGTTTCATAAAGTAATAAGGCTGTGCAGTGTACCACAAGTGATTTTACTAGGGTTAAGATGTACTGTTAGATGATACAAGGCCACTTAACCATGGTAAAAATAATTGTACATCATCACTGACTCAAGTGGCTTACAGTGACAACAGCAACATTATAAAACAGGGGTTAAAATAAAATAAAAAGGCTTTACACATTAAAAATAGAACTGCTATAATGTTATAGGATGTGGTCCCTCAAAAGGGAATCATAATTTTATTTGGTGATCTATGGAATCAAAAAGTTTAAAACCCTGTGATAAAAGATGTTCAATGTTTGATGTTCAATAATTAACTTAATTATTTATGAATAATCACAATAAACAATTCTGCTGTTAGTTCAGATAGTTTTTATTTGATATGCAACAGAAATATTAACTTTATAATAAAACCTCATAAATCACTACAATGCCAGTCTATGAAAAGAGGTGAAATAAAGTAATACACACACATACAAACATTTGTTTTTCTATCATAGTGGAAACTTTTGATTGATTACTATAGTTATACTGAGCTAATGATACTTTCTATCCCCTAGCCTTACCCTCACAGAAACCTTTCTGCATTTTTAGACTGTCATTAAGACATAATTTATTATGATTATTAAGCAGTTTACTGTTGGCTGATTTGAGGTTTTACTATCCTTTAATATCCTTGTGGGGACATTTAGTACCCACAATGTAGGCAAAACGTGACCCACACACAGTTTACACTAACCATGTCCTTCACAGACAGAAATAACCACACAAACACACACACACACTCACACACACACACACACACACACTGAGATGGGCTGGACATTCGGACCTGATCCTATAGCATACAGAGACTAATCACTGAGGTGACATATCAAGTAGCACCCACAATGCACCATCCTTTAACGCCCGCTGAGGTTGTTCTTGAGCATTGTTACGGTAATTATTTGTCTGTGTGTTTTTCGCTACAAGCCGAATTCGTATCGCTTATCACACATTAGAAGCGCTTTTATCCAATTATGAAGGTGACAACAATTTAATTACATGAGGATTAATGAGGCCTTAGTGTTGCTGATGTTTCATCACAAAACAAGCTCAGCATCCCTCACCACAGCGACAATTTGACTTAAGACAAACAAGAAAAACTGATGTAGAAGTTGAATTCTGATGCCTTGACGTAAAAACCATCATGCAAAGACCATCTTAAATCTGAATAACAACGTCATTGTGATCAGAGATGATGAAGAGGGAACATTTAGCTATCTGCAGCTTCTTTAACTTCATAAAACATGCCACCACTTGAGAGTAAAATTCAAATATTCAACAAATTATTCAGCACCTTATGCACATCAAACACTAAGGAAGTCATTTCAAACAGAATTGATTTCACAAGCTAAACTCCATGCGCAATTACTTGTACAAAGATGTACGCAGAAAGGGGAACTCCACAGGGTACGATCACTGGAGTACCTATTGACGCACTCCATATGCACGCAAGGAAATCTCTCAAATACGACCATCCTTAAAAACACACTCCACTGCCCTTCATTACATTTACAGCCTCTTATGCCCTTTAAACATTCTCCAGTCTCACTCAGAAACGCAGTTTAAAGTGTAACACACTCAATCAGCATTGTGAATTCAGTCAAATTGGAATATAGTTGCCTTAGTCAGAAATGAGCTAAAAATACATCTAGTAATATGTTTTAAAGCTCTTGGTGCTTTAACAAGGACACATTAAAGCCCTCAAATTCAAATGCACCTCATTTTCAGTTCCATAATTCACAAACAGACAGGAAAGGGGCAACTGTTGTTGAATGCCAAGTGAGACTTACATATATAGGGAACAAAACTGATAGATGGATGGATGGATGATAAAATAGAAGAATAAATGAGCCAAATGGATTGAGTGACTGACGAGAAACTGACACTCACCACTGTCTGATGGTTCACCTGGATGACCTCGTCACCTGCGTGGATCTTCTTACAGCGATCCGCTGGAGACTAAGAAAGAGATGGAAAAATGGAGAGATGTCAAATGAAAACAGTACTGCAATATTTGAAGTATTTTATTTACATAGTTGCTTTTATACAAACCAATTTACAATGCATTCTGGTTTCACACTGTCTCTTATGCTCTGCATTTATTTGATTAAAAATACAGAAAAACCAATACAGTAATGTTATTACAATTTATTTTGAAATGTAATTTATTCTTGTGGTGACGAAGCTGAATTTTCAGCATCGTTACTCCAGTCTTCAGTGTCACGTGATCAGTGTTGGGCAGTAACGCATTACTTAGTAACGTGTTACTGTAATTTGATTACTTTTTTAGTAACAGAGTAATTTAACGCGTTATAATTTTCAAAATAGTAATTAGAGTATAGTTACAAGCCGAAGTCCCTATACATTACTGCCGCGTTACATTGCTGACAGAATGCAGTGTTTTATCATCTAGATTGTAAAAAGGATGTAGCACACGCACTGTCGAGTCAAGTATCAGTGGATTAGAGACCTACTCCCGTGAGACCCGACGCAACAGCAGTGTGGGAGAAGATGGGCGAGTGCTGCTGCGGGCGGGTAGACACTCTTGTGTGTGTGGGATGCGGGAGAATAAAATGATTCACGGGACTCCCACAAAATAGAAATATCTAAACATAGAATATCTAAAAGAAATAAATTGTTATTCATCTATTGCACAAAAGCAACATGAACTAATATAAAATATAAACGATTAACAGGTGCAAGCGTATGCAGAGTTTCTATTTAGGCTATAACACGTGTTTGCAGCGTTGAGCAATGCAGTGCTGAAATTTGCGTGCTCATGAACCCTCTCATTATAACACACGGATTGTAGACATTATGAAAGATTCATTATGCATATATTTATTGTGTTATAACAGAGATTTGTGAGATTGCGATGAACTGAGATGTCTTTTACAGACTATAAATGCAGTGCTCTTTGCTGGCATTCTGCCTAACCATGCACGCAGCAGCCACTTGCTTTAGTTAAAAATAACAGTGTTCTGTGAATGTTGATGCTTTAATACGTGATTACTTTTAAAAGGAGTAATCAGTAATCAGTAATTTGATTACATTTTCAGAGTAACTTGCCCAACACTGCGCGTGATCCTTCAGAAATCATTCTAATATGCTGATTTGGTGTTTAATAAATATTTCATACCATCAATAGTGAAAACATTTGTGTTGCTTACTATTTTTGTGGAAACCATCATACACTGGCCTTTACTTAAAGGGGTCATATGATGCGATTTCAAATTTTCCTTTCTCTTTGGAGTGTTACAAGCTCTTGGTGCATAAAGAAGATCTGTAAAGTTGCAAAGACTAAAGTCTCAAATCCAAAGAGATATTCTATATAAAAGTTCTAGCCCCCGGCCTCTGCTCACTCTAGGCCGCCATGTGTGACGCTGTGTTTCGTTTGTGAAAGCGAAACTACTTTGTTTGGTCTTCCAAAAGAGGATGATATCCGCTTCGTCATGCCTGGAGCTGATCCGTGCTGGTCGCTGAGGAAATACATCAACTTCGCGCTGTGGATGGCCAGATCGGCTTTCACCGTGAAACGAAGCGGAGCCTCCGCTCACTCTAGCCGCCGGCCTCTGCTCATTCTAGGCCTCCGGCTTCCGCTCACTCTAGCCCACCGTATGTGACGCTGTGTTTCGTTGTGAAAGCGAAACTACTTTGTTTGGCCTTCCAAAAATGGACACGACTAGAAATC